TGATGAGGTGTGCCCCCTCTCCTCAGGCAGATTCCCACTACTGCCAATCCCGCTACCCCCCCAACTCCCGCCCCTGGCAGTTCCCTGCTACTGCCAATCCTTTTCTATAAGTATTATGATAATTGTTCAAGGTCCACTCGTGAGTGAGAATATGTGATACTCAGTTCTTTGTTTCTGTGATGCATCACTCAATGTTATAGACTCTAAGTCCATTCAGGTTGCTATGAAGTTCATGATTTTGTTCTTCTATATGGCTGCATAATATTCCATCGTGTATATGTAACACATTTTTTAAATCCAGTCCTCTTTTGATGGACAGCACGGTTGATTCTATGTTCTTGCTACTGAGAACAATACTGCGATAAACATACATGTGCAGTTATCTTTTTTATAAAGTGATTTGAGTTCTTCCGGGTATATTTCCAGTAGTGGTGTTGTGGAGTCGTATGGAAGGTTGATTTTTAGATCTTTTAGGAGTCACCACACTGTTTTCTACAGAGGGTGTACTAGTTTACACTCCCACCAACGGTGAAGAAATGTTCCCCTTTTGCTGCATCCTCTCCAAGCATCTGTTGTTTTTTGAGTTGTTGATGATGGCCATCCTGACTGGAGTTAGGTGTTATCTCAGTGTAGTTTTAATTTGCATTTCTTTGATGACTAGTGAGGTTGAGGATTTTTTTCATGGACCTGTTGGCTGCCCATATGTTTTCTTTTAAGTAGTGTCTATTCCTATCTTTTGCCCACTTTGTAACGGGGCTGTTTTTGGTGTTTTTGTTTTGTGTTGTTTTTTTCCGGCATGTTTGAGTTCTTTGTAGATCCTAGATGTTAGGCCTTTGTCAGACATATAGTTGGCAAATATTTTTTCCCAGTCTGTGGGCTGTCTCTCTGCTCTCTTGGTGGTTTCTTTGGCTTTGCAGAAGCTTGTCAGTTTAATGAGGTCCCACTTGTCTATCTTATCCTTTATGGCATGGTCACTTGGGGTTTTGATCAGGAATTGATTGCCAGTTCCTATTTCCATAAGGGTGTCTCCTGTGTCTTCTAAGGTTCTTATAGTTTGAGGTTTTACGTTTAGGTCTTTGATCCATTTAGAGTTGATTTTTGTGTATGGTGATAGGTAGGGGTCTTTTTTTAATCTTCTGCATGTGATCAGACAGTTTTCCCAGCATTGTTTACTGAACAGGTTCTCCTCACCCCAGTGAGTGATGGTGGAGGCCTTGTCAAAGATGAGTGGTTAAGAAATTGATGTTTTGCTTCTGGAATCTCTAATCTTGTTCCATTGGTCCATATGCCTGTTCTTGTACGAATACCAGGCTGTTTTGATTATTATAGTTTTATAATAAAGTTTAAGGTCTGGGAGTATGATACCTCCTGCTTTGTGGTTTTTTGTTTGTTTGTTTTTGTTTTTGCTGAGGATTGTTTTGGCTATTCGTGGTCATTTATGTTTCCATATGAATTCCTGTATTGTCATTCCTAGGTCTGAGAAGAATGTTGCTGGTAATTTAATGGGTATTGCGTTAAATCTTTAGATTGCCTTGGGTAGGATGCACATCTTAACAATGTTGATTCTTCCAATTCGTGAACATGAACTATGTTTCCATTTGTTTGGGTCATCTTTGATTTCTTTGAGCAGTGTTTGGTAGTTTTTGTTGTAAACAACTTTCACATCTTTGGTTAGGAAGATGCAAAGGTATTTGATTTTTTTTTTTTGTAGTAATTGAGAATGGGATTGTGCTTTTTATTTGGGTTTCTGTTTGTTATTTGTTGATGTATAGAAATGCAACTGTCTTTTGCACATCTATTTTATACCCTGAGACTTTGTCAAAGTTGTTTATCAGTGCAAGGAGATTTTTGACAGATTCTCTTGGGTTATCGAGGTATAGCATCATGTCATCTGCAAAGAGGGATAACTTGACTTCCTCTTTTCCTATTTGGATACCTGATCTCCTTATCTTGTTTAATTGCTCTAGCTAGGACTTCCAAAACTATGTTGCAAAGGAGGAGTGAGAGTGGACATCCTTGTCTTGTTCCATTTTTCAGGGGAAATGGTTCCAGTTTCTGTCTGTTTAGCAGTATGCTGAATGTGGGTTTCTTGTAGATGGCTCTTACTATTTTGAGGTATGTTCCATCTATGCCTAGATGTTCGAGGGTTTTTATCAAGGAGGGGTGCTGGATTTTATCAAAAACTTTTTCTGTCTAATGATATAATCATGTGGTTTTTGTTCTTACATCTGATAATGCATTTAATTATGTTTATGATCTCACAAATGTTGAGCCAGCCCTGCATCCTGGGGCACTGTTTTCTTATGTACCACAATAAACAAATGGAATTTGAAAATAGAAACACAACACCATTTGCTTTAGCACCACAAAAATGAGTTTTTTAGATATGTCTAGCAAAATATGTACAAGATCTATATGAGAATAACTATAAAGCTCTGTTGAAATAAATAATGAAATAAATGGAGAGATGTTCCATGTTCATGAAAGGCTAGTATTGTCAGATATCAGTTCTTCCTAACTATAACTATTGATCAATAGATTCAATGCAACCACAATCAAAATTCCAGCAAGTTTCTATGTGACTATCAGCAAACTGATTATAAACTTTATATGGTCAGGCAAAAGACCCAGAAAAGCCAACTCAGTATCGAAGAACAAAGTCAGAGAACTGATATTACACAACTCAAGACTTACTATAAACCAACAAAAATTAAGACACTGTGGTATTGGTGAAAGACTAGTCAAATCAGTCAAACAGAATAGAAGACCAGAAATAGACCCACATAAATATAGTCAACTGATATTTGACAAAGGAACAAAGGCTGTACAATGGAGCAGACATAATCTTTTCAACAAATGGTGCTAAAACAAGTGCACATCCACATGCAAAAAAAAAAAAGCAGCAGCAATGACTTTTTAGATACAGCAAAGGCACACTATGAAAGAAAGAACTTCTTTAAAGTGAAAAACTTATGCTCTGAAGAATATATTTTCAAGAGAATGAAAAGATGAGCCAAAGACTGGGGAAAAAAATATTTACAAAAGACATATCTAATAAAAACTTATCCAAAATATTCTATTTACTTTTGGTTTGGTTTACTCATCTTTTCCTAACTTTTCAAGATAGAAGTTTTGATTGTCAAATTTAGATTTTTTTCTTTTTGATGTTTTTATATCTATACATTTTCTCTATACACTGTTTTAGCTGCATCCCATTTATAATGGTATGTTGTTTTCATTTTTTATTCATTTTAAGATATGTTGAAATTACCTTCTGTTTTTTCTTTAATCCATAATTTTCATTTGCATATATGTTGTTTCCATCCTTTTATTTCAGCCTGTTTATTTTATCTTAAAGTATGTTTCTTTTAAATACCACATAGTTGGATCTTGCTTTTCTTAAAATTACAATCGTTGCCTTTTGATTTTAGTCCATTCACATTTAACATAATTTCTGATATGGCTCGACCTATGTCAACCATTTTGTTATTTGTTTTCTATATGTGCCATATCTTTTTGTTTTTCTGTTCTTACCTTACTTCTGTTCTTACCTTACTATGTTCTTAACATACTTATTTTATGTTAACCAAATATTTTTAGTGTACTATTTCAATTTCTCTATTGGTTTTAGCTATATTTTTGAGGTTTTTGTTTTAGTCGTTTGTTTGTTTATTAGAGAGAGAGAGATGGGAGTCTCCCTCTGTTGCCCATGCTGAGGTGCAGTGGCAAAATTTATTGTAGCTCACTTCAGCCTCTAAATCCTGGGTTCAAGCAATCCTCCTGCCTCAGCTTCTTAACTAGGCAGGGCTACAGTTGCATGTCACCATGCCCAGTTAAGTTTTTAATTTTTTTTTTTAGAGATGGGACCTTGCTATGTTTCTCTGGTCTCAAGTGATCCTTCTGCCTCAGCCTCCCAAGTATTTCTGGGATTCTGATAATCATCCTCAATTTCTCATAATCCACTTAGTTTAATATTAACTTAATTTTGACTTGATTCCAGTATTACTACTAAGTGTCTTAGAATAGTTCCAAGTGCCCTAGGATAGTTCCATGGGGGAACACTTTTTATGCTAGGTTTAGGACTTTAGGACTCCCAACACATGCAAATAATGCAAATTTAAGCTGTGACAATAAGTTAGATGAGGCCTATATTATATATGAATTCTCAAAAGAGATTTTGCCACCCAGAAACCAACTAAGACAAAGTGACTTGTCTTCTCAATTTGTAAGTAGAAAGATATTTTCTGATCCATTCTTTGAGTAAGGGTTTAGCCCTTCAAATCTTACTCCTTTACTTTTGCAAGATGATAATAATCAGGATGGTGGGCAAGAATCTGTGGATTCCCCTATTAGTGGGACCTTTCCCTTAGTATCTAGTTGTTAGAAACAAGATCCTTACTCACTCTGTCCACCTCTACACATTTCCATACATAATCTAAGATGCTTTATATTTATTCCCACAAAGTCCAGGTTCATTTTTTCCAGCCCTTACATCCTCTAATACATTTATACATATCAACTGAGTTATCCTTTCAGTACAAAGATTTAGTCTGCTTCCATTAAAACATTTGGCACCCTGTCACTGTGCTTTTCAATAAAGTTGAGCATTTTTTATCATAGCCAATGATCTTCTTATTCCTGGTAGAAAAGTTATTTTAAAATATAAAAATGAAGTAAATCTTATCATATTTCCATAACATTTTAAAAATGTCATATTTATAAGAAATGTTTAGCACTTTAAAGAATTCTCAAATAGTTTAAAAATATTTTTATAAAATAAAAAACTTTGTTTAAACAAACCCATAAATTGACAGGATCTTTGGAATATTTGTTAAGCCGATATCTCTTCCACCATACTAATAAGCAAAGTTAGTCTATGTCATGTATCATTATATAGAACTGGTCATTAATATATTTGACAAGACAAAATTCATCTTTTGTTTGTGTCCATCTATGTCTATATAGATATATAGATGTATGCTTTTTTTTTTATATTTCAGGGGTAATTCTCTTTTTGATATGGTGTGTAATCTGGTCATTCTCAGGCCCTGAAGCTCTCCCTGGTGGAAATTTATTTGGACTATTGATTATTTTTTATAGTGCCATTTTTGGGGGGGAACTCTTGAAACTCATCAAAATACCTTCAGTGCCTCCACTTCCACCTCTTCTTGGTAAGTATATACATAGTTCTCTCATCTTTGCTATTGATTATATATAAATTTTGAACATTTTCTCATTCAACTAGATACAATTCAGAAGTATTTCAATGCAATATGATTTATATAGCTTATGTATGTATTTATTTTATATATGTTTATATATTTTTACTTCTTTATATATTTATATATAGCTCCTTTATAGATGTATTTATTCTCTCTCTCTCTCTACACACACAAATACACATTTCAAAATCAATTTTTAAAGTAATTTGAATATTCTCAATATATGATTCTTATTGCTTTATTGGATAACAGAGGTTTTTTTTTGTTTGTTTGTTTTTGTTTTTCGAGTTGGAGTCTCACTCTGTTGCCCAGACTGGAGTGCAGTGGCACGCGCCCGGCCACTGCAGCCTCACCCTGCTGGACTCCAGCGATCCTTCTGCCTCAGCCTTCCTAGTAGCTGTAACTACAGGCGTGTGCTACCACGCCCGGCTAATTTTTTATTTATTGTAGAGATGAGGTCTCACCAAGTTGCCCAGGTGGGTCTCAAAGCCGTGGACTCAGGCAATTCACTCGCCTTGGCCTCCCAAAGTGCTGGGATTACAGGCTGAACCAGATAACAGAGTATTTTTTACCTAAGTGTTTTATAGAAAAATAAAAACTTTTAGAAATTTGATTTGTTTCTGTAGATAACCTAACTTTAATACAATGACAAGATTTCAATTTTATAGTGACTGAGGCACCAAAATGTCCTGTAATTTTTTTAGTAAGCTGTTTAGGCCTCTCTACTCTGTGTATTCTGCCTCACCAGTATTATACTCTCTTTCTTCATTACCATTGTTCTCTCCAGCTTAACAGAAGAAAATCAATGGAAAAACTTCTGTCAGAGGTGTCTCATCCCCTAAGTATAGCAGGTCTTCAAATAATGTCATTTTATTCACCACTGTTTTGTTATAACATCGAGGAGGGAAAAAAATTAGATTTCTGGCCAGGGCTACTATGTGGGATTTGTACATTTGCCCATGTCGGTGAGGGTTTTCTCTAGTTAGTCCAGTTTCATCCAACATCCCAGAAATGTGCACATTAGGTGAACTGACTATCTAAATGATCCTAGTCTAAGTGAGAGTGTGTGTGTATGTGACTGTGCCTTGTGATAGGATAGTGTCCTGTCCACAGTTTGTTCCTGCCTTGTACCCTGAGCTTCTGGGAGAGTTTCTGGTCACTTTTGACTCTGAACTAAATTAAGCAGGTTGGAAGATGAATAAATGAATGAATGCAAATTATTGTAAAGTAAAAATTTGTTAATAGTAATTGTACATATGTGACAATAAGCAATATGGTAGGAGAGCTCTCAGCAAGTCCCCACTATGTTGGTTATTGTTTGTTTTTGAACTGCATGGTGAGAGGAGCGGCTCCTTACAATTTTCACTTTGCAAAGATCCCTTGATTTAAACTGCACCACTATGACCATCGTCACTCATTGATTCCCCCCAAATTAATCTTTCTTAAATGTGTGGACAGTTGTTTAATAGTAGAAGTGTTTTTTAGTCTTTATTTATAAGTTTGGTGATGTTTTTGTGACCAGAAATATGCTGTAGGAGCTTAACTCTTGTTTATATCAATTAGCTTATGGTAAAATTGGTTTTGTTATATGCCAGTTTCCCTAAAGTTGTAGTTTATTTTTTTTTTTTTTTTGAGTTGGAGTCTCACTCTGTCGCCCAGACTGGAGTGCAGTGGCCACTCACGGCCACCGCAGCCTCGACCTACTGGGCTCCGGCGATCCTTCCACCTCAGCCTTCCAAGTAGCCAGAATTACAGGCATGCGCTACCACGCCCGGCTGATTTTTTGATTTATTGTAGAGATGAGGTCTCGCTGCCCAGGCGGGTCTCGAACCCGCGGGCTCAGGCAATCCCCTCACCTCAGCCTCCCCAAGGCGCGGGATTACAGGCTGAGCCACCGAGCCCGGCCTTTTAAAAATTTTTTTTATCAATATTTTTTATTTTGATATTGTGGGGTGCAGTTAAGGGTTAGGTATACAAATATGTTTTGTTCAGGCATCCTTGTTGATAAGGGAAAGTTGTCATTTCTGAGAACCTATTGACAACGTTAAGTGTGGACTTAGTATATTCATCACATCTAAATATTCAGTACATTGTCAGTAGAGATAATCTACTGTATCTATCAGCAACATTAAATTACTTGATGTACTCCATTTGATGTGTTGTTTCTTAGCTCTTCCTGTATTCATGCTGTCTCCTATATTTGTGTATAATCTGCCCTTCACCAAAGTAATGAAAGACTGTGTTGGAAGAGAGGAAATTAAAGGTTTCTGTTTTCTCTCTTAGAAAAATGAATTGAATCATCTTTATTTTTTTTTTCCTTTAAGGTATGTTACTGGCTGGTTTTATTGTTAGGAATGTTCCATTCATCAGTAAGCATGTTCAAATTAGTAACACATGGTCTTCAATTTTAAGAAATACTGCCCTTACCATTATCCTAGTACGAGCTGGGCTTGGACTCGATCCACAGGTAGATTTTCAATTATAACTGAGTAAAATTATTTCAAATATTAGAGGTTGGTAGAAAGAAAAAGAGACACAATTTTTGTTACTGTGTTCCAAGTGGAGTATATAAGAAAAACTAAGATAAAGAAAAAAGACTTTGCAGAAATATTGGCACTTTAATTTCTCTTTCTAGTCATCTTTATTACTGATATGAGGAAAACTCACTGTGCTAGAAGGTTCTTACTAGAGATAATCTCTAATTATTTGCATAGAGATAAATGTCCCTTATGCACCTGTATCATTGGAAGGGCTCTTCTATGGAAATTGTTTCAGTTAACAAAGAAAAAAGTTACCCTATAAAAGGCCTTTCTTTTTCTTTTTTAGAGATATTAAGAATGTCAATAATATTTTTATGATATTTTCTCCACAGAAGTATGTTCTTCATTCTAGTAGTCATAAATCTACTTGAGCTTTAATGTGGCTATTCATGAATATATCAGCTACTCAAATGTGGCAAAAGTATGGGTTAAATGGAAATATTGCAAGAGCATAAGTAATAATAGCCAGTGATAATTTATTATATTCTCTAGTAGAAAATTTGAAAGAGAATGAGAAAATTGAAAAGTTAAAATTTTAAATTTATTATGCAGTTTTTAAGTGATTTTCTTTTTTTGATATGTTGGTGTTTTCTATTTACAATCATTAAGTTAATCAAACAGCTCATCTGTAAAAATTAAATGATGGGGACAAAAACCAATGGGATACTATCATATTATTTATTAGGAATATTAAGGAAGGTAGAAATAGTTACTCAATCACAGAAAAATAGATCTTTTTAATAATTAAAATACAACAATATTTTATAAAATGTGAAATTGTTTGTAATCCAATCTGTGATGAAATGTAAAATAATAAAATGTATTAGAGTTTCAAGTCCAGTGGGATATTCTGACCAAATGAGATTTAGTGTAGTAAAAGCTTCTTACTCAAAAAAGACTCTGTATTTCAGTATTTGCTTACATAATTTTCTTGTTGGCCATGTGGCTATTTTTATATTTCAGGCTTTGAAGCATTTGAAAGGAGTTTGTTTAAGATTGTCTATGGGTCCATGCTTAGTGGAGGCATGTGCAGCTGCTTTTTTTTCCCACTTCATTATGGAATTTCCTTGGCATTGGGGATTTCTATTAGGGTAATTTTTTTCCATTTTTCCCTATGAAAATATTCAGTTAAGATTGCTTGGTTTGAAATTATTAAACTATTCAGAATATTGTATAGAAAAACTCTTTATTAAAATTATTTACAAAGTGGTGAAAAGCCTTGGAAATCAGTTGATCAAAAAGCAGAGCCATGTCCCAAATCTACCATATTCTTAAGAAATATTCATAGTCCCTAAATGTATAGTGCCAAAAAAATTTACATCATCAATTTATTCCTTCTCTTCTGTATTGTAATGTATCTGTATGCTTTAATCTATCTAATGATCTATTCCTCATATACTACATGTGGATACAAGTTAATATTTTATCGGTATATATGTATAAGAGAGACATTTGCTATAGATATAGATCCATAAATATAAACTCTCCCATTTTTAAAAAACAAGCAAAAACTCTTTAGATTCAGTGCCCCATCTATCTTTATCTACCATCTATTTCCTTTATGTCTAAATTATTCAAGATAAGTCTGTAATCACTGTCTTTACATCAAAATTCCTTTTCATTTTTCAATTTATTAACCTTTGCCTCCAGTTATCCATTTCAATAAATTTTATAGCAAAATTCACCCAAATCCAGTAGGTTTTTTAATTTAATTTTTATTATAAAATATCCAAATGCAGCCAGGTACAGTGGCTCATGCCTGTAATCTTAGCACTTTTGGAGGTCCAGGAGTGAAGTCTGCTTGAGCCCAGGAGTTTGAGACCAGCCTGGGCAACATAGCATTACTTTGTCTCTACAAAATATCAAAATATTAGCCAGGTGTGGTGGTGCTTGCCTGTAGTCCCAGCTACTCAGGAGGCTAAGGCAGAAGGTACACCTGAACTCAGGAAGTCGAGGCTGCAGTGAGCCATGATCATGCCACTGCACTCCAGCCTGGGTGACAGAGTGAGAACCTGATTCAAAAAAAAAAAGATACTCAAGCTAATGAATTTACAGACATGCAAATTAAAACAACAAAGAGATATCATTTTTTTCATTCACTAGATTGGAAAAAAATCACAAAATTCAATAATATCAAGGATTTGCAAGAACATCAGATAATCTCATATCCTGTTGGTGATAGGACAAATTAGCATGGACATGTTGAAGGCACTTTGGCAATATTCATGAAAACTAAAAATGCACATAACCTGGTAACTATTCTAGACAAACTCACATTTAAGCAAAATGGTCCAAATAAAATACTACAGTAAGTTCCCTACATACAAACGAGTTCTATTTTGAGAGCATATAAATCCAATTTGTTCATAAATCCAACAAACTTAGCCTAGGTACCCAACTAACACAATCAGCTATATAGTACTGTGTTGTAATAAATTTATATAGTATTAGCTATGACACCACTGCTTTTACACTTGCTTTTGGACATTCTGGGCTTGAAATAAAGATACTGTACTACTATACTCTATATAGTACTATACAGTAAAATACACAAAAGTACATTTGTAGAGCATGCACACATGTGACAATGTAGGCCAGACACGTGAACCAAGAACTTGCATGACTGGATATGCGAATGCCTGTTTGTGTCTTTGAAAGTTTGAAACTTGAAGATTTGTATGTAGGGAACTTAACTGTAATTTGTTTATACTGTAAATAAAATCTGGTCTTGTCATACAATGTAATCTTATGCCATTGAAAGGAATGAATGAATGAACTACATGTTTCAATATCAGTAAATAAATCTCAAGAATATTGTTGAGTGAAAAGAGAAAATTGCAAAGTGAAACATTTTTTGACATAATTAAGTAAAAATGCACAAAAATAATACATTTTTCCTATGGGTTTTTATTTTTTAGACATCCAGAATGTTATTTAGAGGTTTAGAATGATAACAGAAAAAAAATTTCCCAAGAGTTGTCACTTTGGGTGGGGATACGGGCACTAGGATTTGCAGACATGATCAAAGGGCACTTCACTTTTTTCTGTAAAGTTTTAATTTTAATTTTCAGAAGAAAAAAATGCATGTGTTTTCTTTTTTTTGAGTCGAGTCTCATTTGTAGCCCAGGCTGGAGTGCAGTGGCATGCTCATGGCTACCACTACTGCAGTCTCTACTGTGTTATCCTTTTGGTTTTCCTCATCTGTGACTGGCCTTTCATACCATTTGTCCCCTTTATTATTATTTTCCTCTTTCTTATTAACAGTATCTGTTACATGTATCTGTTATATATTGCAAATATCTTATCCCAGTAGATATTTAACTTTGTGAATTTTTTTCTTATTTGTTTTTTGAGTCGGAGTCTCACTCTGTCACCCGGGCTGGAATGAAGAGGCACAATCATGGCCACTGCATCCTCTACCTGCTGGTCTCAGGCGATCCTTCTGCCTCAGCCTTCCAAGTTCTGGGACTACAGGCATGCACCACCAAGTTTGGCTAATTTATTTACTTACTGTAGAGACGAGCTAACACAAAGTTGCCCAAACCGGTCACGAACTCTTGAGCTCAGGCAATCCTCTTGCCTTGACCTCCCAAAGTACTGGGATTGCAGGCATGAGACACCACACCCAGCCTATGGCTAATTTGTTTTTCAATCTGAAAAGGGTATTTTTATCATTTCCAACAGATAGAAGGGCCAATACATGAAACCATTCATTTGACCTTGAAAATAAAAATGAAAAAAAGAAAGCAGAATATAGCTGCTTTTGAAGACTACTAAAGTATTTTTAGATTTTAATATGATTTGAATTTATCAAAATTTATTAAAATTCAATTAATGCCTTTTATGCTCATTCAAAAGATCCTATTTTCCCCATGGTCACAAATATATTCTTCAGTGTTTTATTCTTATTACTTCTACTTTTAAGTTCAGCTTTTTAAGTTTAGGTCTTAAGGCCTGGTATAGTGACTCATGCCTTCCCAGCAATTAGTGAAGCCAAGGAAGGAGGATCGCTTGAGCCCAGGAGTTCAAGACCAGCCTGTAAAACAGAGTAAACCCTCGTTTCTACAAAAAAATCAAAAATTTAACCGGTCTTGGTGGCACATGCCTGTATTCCTAGCTACTTGGGAGGCTGAGGCAGAAGGATATCTGAGCCCAGGAGGACGAGGCTGCAGTTAGCTGTGATAATGCCATTGCACTCCAGCTGGGTGACAGAGTGAGATTCTGACTCAAAAATAAAATAAAATAAAATAAAATTTAGGTCTCATAAATAGCCAGAAATTATGTAAGGATCTAGCTATGTTCTTTTCCACTAGGTTGTTCTCATTTATAAAACATTTCTTTCTTTCCCCAATAATTTGAATTGTCAGCTTTATCATTTAATAAATCCCATAGATTTTGTCTATTTATATGTCACTGTAATGCAGTTTTAACTATTTTACCTTTATGAAAACAATGTCTTCTTTATATAAGTAGACTTGGTCTTTCCTTCTAAGCTCTTATCCTTCCAAATTAATTTTACAATCAGTCAAGTTCAGTGAAAAATCCTGAGAGCATTTAACTGGTATAGCACTGACTAATTCAGAGGAGAGGTGACATCTTTATAATAGTTATTGTTTGTTTGTTTGTTTGTTTGTTTATTGAATTGGAGTCTTACTCTGTCGCTATGGCTAGAGTGCAGTAGCACACTCAGGGCCACCATGACCTGCTGGGCTCTGGTGATCCATCTGCCTCAGCCTTCCAAATAGCTGGAACTACAGGTGCATGCCACCACACCTGGCTAATTTTTTGATTCGTTGTAGAGGACTCGCCAAGTTGCCCAGACTGGTCTTGAACCCCTGGACTCAGGCAATCCTCTCACCTTGGCCTCCCAAAGTGCTGGGATTACAGGCTTGAGCCACCACATCAGTCATTCAGGTGTGTGTGTGTGTGTGTGTGTGTGTGTGTGTGTGTGTGTGTGTAGAGGCCTTGCAAATATTTAATTACACTCATGCTTAGATATTTGATCATTTTAATGCTATTATAAATAGTACCTTTAGCCATGCATGGTGGCACACACTTGTTATTCCAGCCCTTTGGGAGGTGGAGGCAAGAGGATTGCCTGAGCCCAGGGGTTTGAGACTAGTCTGGGCAACTTGACGAGACCTCGTCTCTACAATAAATAAAAATGAATAGGCAGGTGTCACACCGGCTTGTATTTCCAGCTATTTGAAAGGCTGAGGTGAAGAACTGCCTGAGCCCAGAAGGTCGAGGCAGCAGTAGCCATGATTGTGCAATGGCACTCCAGCCTGGTGATAGAGTGAGACTCCGACTCAAACAAATAAATACATAAATAAAGCCTTTAATTTCTTATTTTCTTATTATTTGTTGCTGGTATTTAAAATATGATTTATTAATTTTTAATCTTGCTTTTGTTTTCAGTTCTATATTCATTTACTAATTCAAAAAATTTATCTTTAAATTGCTTTGGACTTTCCCCATGTACAACCATATGACGTATGGATAATAACACCTTTACTGCTTCCTTTCCAATATGCATACAATTTATTTTTCTTTCCTTCTGGCACCAAACTTTCTATACAATGTTGATTGGAAGTGGTGATAGCAGGCATCTTTGATAGTCTTGGCAATAGCAGTTTTTGTGTTTTGATCCTATATTTGTCATAAGTTTTTTGTAACTACCTTTATTGGATTAATGAAATTAATCTAATAAAGATTAATAAACTTAAGAGAGGTTCTGTATTAAAGCAGGTCCATCAAATCCATTCACTATAGATCATGTTGGTTTAATCTTTTTTATTTTTTAAATAGTATATATTCATGTGAATTTTATTCTTTTTTTTACTTTTCCTAACTTTTATTAGATGAACAGAATTTTCTTCATTCCACTTTTCTTTATTTTAATATTTAGATGCTCATTCTCCTAGTGATTACCCAAAATTTTAGGAAATGCATGCCTAAATTTAAAGCATGTTTCACTTTCCTTCACTCATCTGTTCCCCTCAGATTAATATAATCTGAAATTTTAATCAAGAATATTTTAAAGATTTTTTTTACCATTAACACTTCTCTAAATTTAGCAATAAGTTTTGCT